TGATTCCGGTCAAGGGCACATGCCAGGGTTTCAGGCTCAATCCCCAGTAGGGGAGCACAAGAAGCAGCTGATCAATGTTTCTCTCATCCATGTTTCTATCCCTCTCCTTTCACTCTCTAAAATCAATAAAATACAGAAAAATAAAGAGCCATGCTTTCTGCCCTTCCTGACATTTTGGGGGATACTTTTCAGGGTGCCCTATGCTGCCCCAAAACACAAGAAAGCAGGAAATGTTACCCCGTTTGGCACATGGTGGTAATTTGGGTGAGAAGTGGAGAGGACATAAACCAGACTGTGGGGCCTTAATGAGGGTGGTGTGAGCCTGGTACCAAGAGGGACCCAGAGCTGGAGGAGAAAAGGGAACTTGGAGACAGGAAGTGAGAAACTGCTCTGTGCCTCTTCCAGGGGATGCAGCTTACTCCACCCCCATCTTCCCAGCCTCCAGGCCTCAGCAGAGCAACCTGAGGTGCAGGCCAGACAGAGGGATGGAGAGGCGGAAGAAGAAAGCACAGGGAGCAGGGCCCCAGATGTGGCAGAGGTGGCACAACTGCCCACTCGGAAGGAGCAAGCAGAGTGAGCACCTCAAGCACGATCCTTCTCTCACATCCTAGCCCCTCTCGGACATGGAGAAGGCAAATCAGGCACAACTGATTTCCTTTGACCTGCAGGGCCACAGCTGACCATATGCCCCGGAGCAACATTTCAGTGGTCTATAAGGCCAAAACTCTGTGATGTCGCCACGCTGACACTGGCCATTTTCACTCCTAGTCTCACAGGGGTAGAGGAGCCTTCAAAATGCCACCATTCTCATGACCTCGGAAATGTGCACACGTGAATTCTTATGTCTAATTTCCAATTTCTAACACACAAAAAACGCTGGACATAATCCCATCCGAACCTCTTTGGGGTCCTCAACCCCTTTGGAGGGTGGGAAGGGGGCCTGAGGAACAGTCTGAGCACCCCTTCCCTGGAAAAACTCCTGCAACCAAGTGCCCTAACACATTCCACAGCAAAGCTGTTCCTGAGAATAAAATCTGGCTTCACCAACCCGGAGCCTGGATCACAGCACAAGGTGAGTGGCACACCACCGCCAATCTGTCCTGCACTTGGTTTTGTAAACAAATGCATTGTGACTCCTACCGAAACATGTCCATTCGTTTACATACTGTCTATGGCTGCTTTCCTGCTCGTGGTGGAGGTGAACAGTCCCCAGGGAGACAAATATTTACTATCATGCTCTTTACAGACAGAACCTACTGACCCCTGGCTTAGAGGGCGTGCCCTCTAGCTGGGACCTCTCCACAGGAAAAGGGACCTTCCCTCCAGCAGCCCGAAGAACAAGTCTCTGCGAGGAACTGTCCTATTTGCTGCCTGACCCTGCCCTTCGGAAAGACAGGCAGCGTTCTGGAAAGGCCACTACAGCAGAGACACTTGGTAGGTTACTGTGACATGAGTGACCCTTGCAAGGCCATTCCCAGGATATCATTTCAACTGATCTTTCTTTTTTTTTTTTTTTTTTTTTTTTTTTAATATATTTTATTGGTTTTTTACAGAGAGGAAGGGAGAGGGATAGAGAGAATAATGGATGAGAGAGAATCATCAATCAGCTGCCTCTTGCACACCTCCTTCTGGGGATGTGCCCACAACCCAGGTACATGCCATGGACCAGACTCGAACCTGGGACCTTTCAGTCCGCAGGACGACGCTCTGTCCACTGAGCCAAACCGGTTAGGGCTCAACTGATCTTTCAGACTGACCTTAACAGAGCCTTTGAGCCCAGCAAGGCCAACATAGCTGTTTTCCTAAATTATCTACAAAACTATTAGGGGTGATTTTGTCCCCAAGAGGACACTTGGTGATGCTGGGGACATTTGTGGTTATCACAACTTGGGGTGCTCCTAGCATTGAGTGGGTGGGGCCAGGAGTACTGCTCCACACGGCACAGCCCCCCAAGAGAATGACCCGCCCCCATGTCAGGGGTGCCCAGGGGGACAGACCCTGAGCTGATTTACTGCACCGTTATTGTGAGCCAGACATGGGCTCATTCCTTCACGTCTATTACCTCGCTGAATTCTTACCATGCCACAATGTCGTGGGTCCACAATTAGCTCTGTCTGAACAGTCAATGGCCAAGCCGCAGGGTCAGGGGACTTGGGAAGATTATGTAAAGCGCAAGACAAAGCCTTGTACCTGAGCTTGTTCAGGGCCATGCCACAAATAACAGCTATTATTAATTTTATGGGCAGCAAAAAAACAGGCTCCAGATGCCTCTCTCCTTGCCCAGGCTGGGCCTGCCACCGAGGTCCCTCCCCCCCATGCTCCCTGTATTTCCGTCAATCAAGCGACATAACCGCCAACCTATTCAGCCTAAAAAAGCTGCCACAAAACCCTCCCATATCCTGAAGAAAGACTCAGCTATGTTCTGCTTTATGGTCTTAGTCAACCTCGCTGCAGAACTTGGACTGTTAGGCCATATTTCTTTTAAGGGCGGGGCGGGAGATTGTGTAGACTCTCTAGAACATTCTGGAAAACAACAGCTCTCTTGCACCCACTGGAAATTGCACCGCTTCCTATCACTGTTAGTCCAGGCTTTTTGCAGACTTGACTTGCTTTGAGCCGCTGCTTGTGTGCTTTTGTCACCCACCCTCCTGTCAATGTCCACACCTCCTAGCCACCAGGCCAATTCCTGGCCAGGCAACCTTGGGGAAATTGCATCAGGCTCTGAGGCCTGGCTTCCTTACCCGGAAGACAGAAACAACTACACAAAGCTGCTGAGTAGCCGCAGCAGGAAGGAGAATGGGCCACGCTTTGGTGACTCTAAAGGCTGCACTGTGAGAAAGCAGTGTTAAGAGCCCTGTGTGTCATCGCCAGCAGCCATAAGATTAAAGGCACTACGTATGTGTCTAACACACCTTGGTGCTGCTGTCATCATGCTTTATACTTACACAGATATTAGCAATACTTTTGAATGGATCAAACATTATATAAGTAAAGGGAGATAGGGGTTTATGGGTATAGACATTTGTCAGAACTCCAAATGGTCTGCTTAAACGTACCTTGCCGAAACCGGTTTGACTCAGCCTGCGGACTTCCAGGTTCAATTCCTGTCAGGGACATGTACCTTGGTTGCGGGCACATCCCCAGTAGGGGGTGTGCAAGAGGCAGCTGATCGATGATTCTCTCTCATCGATGTTTCTAACTCTCTAGCCCTCTCTCTTCCTCTGTAAAAAATCAATTAAATTGACATGCCTTGATATATACAAATTTTACCTATAAAGACAATGATAACCCCAATTGTGAACTCTTGTTAATGACAGGCATGCTGAGTGTTTAGGGGTGATATGAACTAGTGTCTGCAAACTTACTTCGAAATGCATCCCAAAAAACAAGACATATTGGTGGATGAATAGAGCAAGACAGAGCTGAGTGATAAAAGTGACTACACTCACTTTTTAGTGGTAAAACCTAGGGGTAGGTGTTCATGTGTTCATGGGTCTTTCAATTGTCCTGCACGTTTGCAATTTAAAAATAGAAATGAACAGTGTTTAATAGAATATACACCTACTGATGTTAAAAAAAAGAAAGTTCTTGGCACACAACAGGCAAATAAACATAGTGCTTCTTTGAACTTAATGAGGACTCCGTTCAACCTGCCTTTGAACTACACCATGAGCTGCTTGCTTAGTGGACACATGCAAGAGGTTTTCAGAAAGGACCTGTGCTGAACAAACAGACTGCGTGGCAAATCATAACCAGTGTAGATGCCACAGAACGAGGCGCTCTTAAGAGGCAGGAGCTAGCAGCCAGCGGAGCTCCACTCCTCTCCTCAACATGAATGCCACTGCACAGTTAAGTCGCAAAGTTTGCAGGATCAGCTTTCCCTCCCCAGGCAGGGCGGGTTAACTCAGGTTCTTAAGACATTCAAGTCATCCTATCTCTCACAGGAAGGAGGCTAAAGGTCTCCCAGGGCGCTGCAAGCCCAAGAAATTAATCATCAGGTCTCATTTCAAGTAAGCACACAGGATCCTCCCAACCCCCAAAAATCATGCCCAGGCGCGGGCGCGGAGTGTTTATTTTTCAATCTAGACACCAGATGGCGGCAGGAACCAGTTCAAAACGCGACAACAAAGTCGGGCATGCAGCCCAATTGAAGACTTTTAATCCAGTACAATCGCTACACCACTGTCCCTACGGTCCACCAGCAGACAGGACCAATACTGCCTTACACCATCTCCCACTCAGGGAAATTTCAATCCCAGTAGTACCTCCCGCCATCCCCTCAAGGACAACTCCAAAACTGGAAACCTCCCGCAGTGCCACTGGAGAAAGCGTCCCAAATGCGAGCAACCGCTAGAGCAAGGGTGGCCATTTTAACTGCTACAAGGGTCTGAGGACAGAGCGCAGAGAAGCGAGAGGAGCAAGGCCGCAGACCAAGGCCGCAGAGGGCCACACCAGGCCCTGCTCACGGGCAGCCCCCGAGAGGGCAGGCCCAGAGTGGCAGAAATTCCAGATTGGCAAGCACCATCTCCCGCCTCCGAATGCGCTGATCCAAATTTCTAGAAAACACACCCTCTGGGGACAAACTCCAAATAGGAGCAGGCCGTGGGCCACAGTGTGTGTTTCAAAGAACAAAGCGGTCCCCCTGCCCTCGTATTTGAGTCATGAGTCTAGGCTCTTCCTTGAAATTCACCAGCTCTCAGTCGGCCACCTCCAACTTCTTTTCCTGGGAATTATTTTGAGGGGCTTCAAAAACAAACAAAATAAAAGGGGAGTGTAAGAGCCCCAATGCTACAGGATTTGAGTGCCAGCTGCCTGCCCAGTGTGTCAGCATGTGAGTTGAGCCTTTGTTCCTGGCTCAGGCATTTTGAGTTTTCTGTGGAGACACGGAGCGGACCGGATGAGGGGGGGAGACGGAGTGTGCCGGTGGCGGAGGAGCGAGGCCTGGACGAGAGACAAGAACAAAGGTGCCGGGCGGCGGGCAGCCTGCTGGGCGGGTTTACCTGCTTGCCCCTGTAGAAAAGCCTCTGTCGGCTTGGCTCCACGTGGAACAGCTCCTGGATCTTCTCCCTCAGATCTTCCACCCTGGTCAGCCTGGAGAGCGAGCCCACGCTGTGGGCCTCCCTCCCATCCATGGTGCGAACCTGGATCCACATGGTGCCTGCTGGTGCTGAGAGGGCAGAGAGTGGATCCTTCGGTCAGTGCTGCCTGCCCCTGCCACCACCCCCCCGCCCGTGCCCTGCTTGGGTCATCCTTGCTTTGTCCAGCCTGTGGACACCCAAAAACTCCCTTCACGCCCCCTCTGACCCCTAGTCCTCACAGAAGGCCAGCGTTAGCCCCAGGCCTGGCAGAGAAAATTAAAGGAGTTAATTGAGTAAATGACTAACACCGGTGGAGCGTTTAGGAGGAAGGGGAAATTAGGGAAGGCAAACGGCACCTTGAACCACTCAGTCCAACCCACACACCCCCTCGGAGGAAAAAGACACGGACGTCCGGAGGAGGACACAGTCCAAAGGTGAGGGGTCGAGTTTGTTCGTTCGTTCATTCATTCATTCATTCACCGAATTAATACTGACGCCAAAAGAGGGAAACCCAAAAGTCCGGCGCGGGTCGAAACTTCAGAAGTCCCCGGGAACTCAACTAAGTGCAAAGGGGAAGAACCCCCACACCCGACCCTGACCCCGGACACGCGGGGCTCTGACCCCTCGGTGTCCGCGACCCCCGCCGCCCACCCCCCGCGCGCGTGCGCGACGCGGCCGGCCCCCCGCGGTGGCCATGGCAACCAACCGCCCTGTCCCGGCCACCCCCGCGCACGCCGGGCGCCTCACCTCAGCCCCACAACGTCCACGCGCGCCGGCCCTCGCTCCCCGGACTCTGACTCCCGTCCTCGGAGCCCCTCTTATCCGCCCTCCCGCCGAGCGGGCCACGCCAGCGAGCCCACGCCCACCCCCACCGCCGGGCCGCCGGAGGGGCCCCCCCTCGCCCTATCCGCCCCGCTCATTGGCTCCGCCGCTCCGGGCGCCCCGCCCCGCCCGCTCCCCATTGGCCCGGACGTGCCCGGGGAACGCAGGGCGCGCGAAACCAGGCTCCGGCGCGACAATTGAATCGCGGGGCGCCCCGCGCGCAGGCGCGGAGCCTGACATGGTCCCCCGCGGCCTGCCCGGCCCTCCCCCGCCCAGCTGGCGAGACCCCCGCGGCGCCCCGGGGACGCTCCGCCCGCCCGTGCCTACGTCCGGCATTCCGAAGGCGACTGCCCGGGGCGGGCCGGGGTTGGGGCAGAGCTGAGTCCGCGTACAGGACAGCCCGTGCTGACCGCGCGTCTCGGCCGCTCCAGAAAGTTTTGCAAAGTCTTAGCCCACCTCCCCTCTCCCCCTCCTCCCCCGAACACACACACTGGCCCAGGCTGGTGCCCCAGTTGGCCTGGCCACTCACCTCTCCGGCCGCCCCACCACTCTGCTGCCTGCGCGCTGGGCCCTGAAAATGGCGCTAGAGCGGCGTGTGTGGCCCAGACCCCGCGCGGACGTGCGTGCGAGCCGGAGCGCCCAGTCTGCCCACGCTGCCAGCTGCTCTGATTTTTTTCCCGCGAAAACTCGGCGTTTAGAAGTTGTGGGAGGCCACGCAGGGGGCGGGCGTCTGCAAGTGATTGGCCGCCGCAGTGGCGCGAAGCAAGAAAAGGGGTGGGGGCGCCCCCGCCTCAATCCACCCCCCCTTCTTCCAGCGGGCCACGGCCCCGCCCAGGCCTGCACGCTCTGCTGGGTGTGCCCAGCGGATATGGGGCCCAGGGTCCCCCCTACATGCTGCCCTCCAAAGAGCCCTAAGGACACCCAGAGTAGAGACCCGCCTGACCTACTAAGTCGGATCCTGCTGAGCTCCCCCCCCACCTCCCATACCGCCACCCCGACCTGGGCACCCATTGACCAGAAGGGCAAGGAAGATGGAATCAATGTCAACACTGCAGGAGAATGGGGGGGGGGGGGGGGAATGGGGGCAAACGGATGGACAGGCTGATTGCCCCAAGTCCCATTTCCTAGCGTCAGGGCCCGCCAGCACTCCCACTCTACCCACCCGTGAGACTTGTTTATTTGCTGATTTCCCCACGCTCCGGCTCCCCCCCCCCCCCCCCCCGCCTCTTTTTCCCGCCTTTTCCGGGCTGTCCAGGCGGAAGGGCTGCCTTGCCTGTTCTGCTCTGGCCAGTTTTGGCGGGCATCCATGCTGGGCACCTACAAAGCGTCTGGACAGAGGGCTCAGAGCTAGGGGGCCAGCAAGTGGGCAAGGCTGGCTCTGTGGGTGGTCTCCAGGAGGAGACAGGCAAGGAATGACTAAATGAAGCAAATCGTTTCAGACACTGCATGCAACAGCTGGAGAGTGACCAGTGGCCCTGTGGGGGTGGGGAAAGAGGATATTCTGGTTGAGGTGGAGAGGTGGGCCTCTCTTGCAACATGACATTTGAGCTGAGCTCTGAGAAGAGAAACCAAGGAGAGATGAGTTCAGGAAGGGAGGGCAAGCTCAGAAACAGGAAAAGGCTGAGAGGTGTACGGGGAGCAGCAAGGAGGCCCAAGCAGCCGAACAGACGCAGCAGAAGGGAGGATAGGAGAGGGTGAGATCAGAGGGTGTCAGATAAGACCTCACAGGCCTTTCACAGGACTTTGGTCTTCTCTTGGGAGCAGCAAGTGGCATGGGAGGGCTGTGAGCAGAAAAGTGAGGAGTTGCCATTTATGCTTTTACAAGGTTCCTCTGACTCGGTGTAGAGTCCGTTCCGTTTTAGCACTGGTACTTCTGCTTTGATTTCTCCCAGTGTTGACAGAATCCTGCCTCCACAAAGAGGCCCACATCCTAATCCCTGGGACCTGTGATTAGGATACCTTCTGCGGTAAAAGAGACTTTACAGCTGGGATTAAATGAAAACTCCTGAGATGGGGAGATACCTAGATTGCCTGGGCTGGCCCAATGTCATCACAAGGGTCCTGATGAGTGGAGGAGAGAGGGTCAGAGTTAGAGAAGGAGATGTGACAACAGAAGTGGGGGGTTGGATTGTTGAGACCAAGAGGCAAGGAAGGTGAGAAGCCTCTAAATCACATGTGTCAAACACAAGGCCCACGGGCCAAATCCTTCCCGCCAGGCCTTGCAATGTGGCCCGCACCGCGCTGTCATCACTGCACTCCGCTGCGTTTCCATCACAATGACAGTTTATGACTGTTCAGTAAACCATTCGGCCCGCAATTCAGGCTGGATTTTAGATTTTGGCCCCTTCTCTGATTGAGTTCGACACCCCTACTCTAAATAAAAGCTAGAAAAGGCAAGGAACAGATTGTCTCCTAGTCCTCTCAACTCCTCGATTTAGCGCCTGAAAACCTGTTTTAGACTTCTTACCTCCAGCACTGGAAGAGAATTGTGTTGTTTTAAGCCATTGAACTTGGGATCATTTGTTATAGCAGCCATAGAAAACTAATACACTCCAATACACAAGGTCCAGATGCTAACTTTCTCTAACGTCAAGACTATTACCAAATGCATTTCTGGTGCCAGGTATGGACCAGGTATAGACCATTCAGATAGGTCTCAATCAGGCCTACTGGAGCCTGAGAAGCAAATGAGACCTTCCAAATTGAGAACACCTGCTGCAGGAACCTGGCCTGGTCCTGATGCGCACGTATCATCTGTTGAACCTGCTGTTGCCAAAACTAAGCATGGCCCAAAGGGGTAATACATTCTTTCTGTGCATTTGATACTGGGCACAGTCCAGGCTCCTTGGATATCTGAAGTTAAGTAACACAGAAGTATCCGGCTTTTCCTGCAGAAATGTTCCCAAGAACTGGTGACACAGGTCCCCATTTCTCTAGTCATTTCGAGACAGAAGTGTTGCTTGGGTTAATTAACAAACATGGGCCGAGACCGGTTTGGCTCAATGGATAGAGCGTCGGCTTGGGGACTGAAGGGTCCCGGGTTCGATTCCGGTCAAGGGCATGTACCTTGGTTGCGGGCATATCCCCGGTAGGGGGTGTGCAGGAGGCAGCTGATCGATGACTCTCTCTCATCGATGTTTCTAACTCTCTATCTCTCTCCCTTCCTCTCTGTACAAAATCAATAAAAATATATTTTAAAAAAAATTAACAAACATGGATAAGCTCTTGCCAGTGTTACTCAGTGATTAGAGGGTCAACCTGCAGAATAATTGGTCTCAGGTTCAATTCCCCATCGAGGGCACATAACTTGGTTCCAGGATCCCCAGCCCCAGGTGGGTGCAGGAGGCAACCAATCAATGTGTCTGTGGGTGGTAGGTGGTTTCTCTTGGTGTTTCTCTCTCTCTCTCTCTCTTCCCCTTCCACTCCCTACTCCTTCCTTCCATCCTCCCCCCTCTCTCTCTGGAAATCAATGGGAAAATATCCTCAGATAAGGATTAAAATAAATAAATAAATAAACAAACAAACAAACATGAGTAAGATACAGGCCAGGTGGCTCAGTTGGTTAGTGTTATCCCGATGCACCAAGGTTGTGTGTTCCATCTCCGGTCAGGGCACATATAGGCGTCAACCAATGAATGTGGAGATGAGTGGAACAACAAATTGATGTTTCTCGCTTTCTCCCTTACTCTTTCTCTTTAAAACACTTTTTTTTTTAAAATAAAAAAAGATACTATGCCAAGTTTCTCCAAAAGACACTTACAGAGCCTTTAGGGTGACAATATGTCAATGTTCACAAAAGACATCATGTAAACTAAAACAGCAAAGACGATGAATGAGGCCTTCCCAGAGTCTGGAAAACGGACACTTTCCAATGCCTCTTTTGCTTTAGTGTCACTCCCACTTAGGCACCAGGAATAACCACTAGGGTACAAAGGACCTCAATTTCCCTTTTGCGAAATGATACCTTACTTGAAGGTCAGTAAGATGTTCTGCAAACTTTTATTGACCTCTCTGGTCCAATCAGGTTCTGGATCCAGCAGACACTGGTGGACACAAAGCTTACTGGACTTGGGGAAGACACGGGCATAAAGAGAAATGTCAGTTGTGCAGGGAGATGGTCCTTCGTGGTGGCATCCACGTGTAGGTAGGACCATACAGTGCTCCGAGCAGCTTCAATTCACATCAGATTCCATGTCCTGGCCACATCTTTAATCTTTTTTCTAACACAGACTGGGATGAATATAGAACCCATTAAAATGAAAATGATTGTGTCTGACCCCAAAACAATGTGTGAAGCCTGAGGGGCACACATAGCAAATTTGGGGGCCATCTGATGGGGCAGAAAATACCTCTGGGCTCATTTGCTGTGTCTTTCCATCTGAACATAGAGCTCACAACACCCACCGCAGCAGAGCGGTTGGACGAACTCTTCCCACCCTCGGCCCCTAAACCTCCGGCAGGTGACAAGTGTTCCCTGTGTGGCAGGAGTGTTGGCGTCTTATGGTTGTTTTTGTTTGCTTGTTTGTCATTTTCTAGGAAAAGGTGGTCTTTCCCAGGCTACCATTTTTCTTAAATATATTTTATTGATTTCTTATAGAGAGGAAGAGAGAGGAATAGAGAGTTAGAAACATCGATGAGAGAGAGACAACGATCAGCTGCCTCCTGCACACCCCCCACTGGGGATGTGCCCACAACCAAGGGACATGCCCTTGACCGGAATTGAACCTGGGACCTTTCAGTCCCCAGGCCGACCCTCTATCCACTGAGCCAAACCGGTTTTGACTCCCAGGCTACCATTTTACAATCCAGAGAGGACTGTGGGATTCCCAAGCTGCTGCCTCCCTTCCTCCTGGTCATTGGGGATCCCTTCCCAGAACCCTGGCTGGATGATGTCACAGACAGGTGACCTCACTGAGGCCAAGGAACCCGGCATCTCAGTGGCATGGAGGAGTGGGGAGGATGTTTCTCCACCCGCCCAACCCTCCATGTCTGTGGTGAAGTCAATCCAATTAATGCTGCCCAAGGATGCGGTCTACCAGGCCGGCTCCTGCGTAAAAGGGCAGGTGGTTCTAACCCTGCACAGCACCCTGGTGGACCCCATTGTGAAGGTGGAGCTCGTGGGAAGAGGTTACGTGGAGTGGAGCGAAGAAACCGGGGCTACCCTTGATTATAGCAGAGATGTTATTTGCAACAACAAGGCCGACTATGTACACAAGTCAAAGATGTTCCCAGTGAAGGGTAAGGATGAGGCCAGCAGCCAACCCTAAACATAATAGGAACCTGGGTCTGGAAGGTAAACACGTTAGTCGGTCAACAAACCCCAGGGATATCAGAGATGGGCAGAGATGTGGCTTCTCCCTAGGAGGGTATCCATGTAAAACCATGACCATCAGATACACAAAAATAAGATAGAAGGAGCTGGTCATGGAGGTCTTTCCAAAGAGGTGACAACAGAGCACAAATATGAGTGATGGGAGGGTCAGGAGCCATGCAGACCTCTAGGGGAGGAACAGCAAGATGCCAGATCTTAATGCTCAGCAATCACGTGGCCTCTTTGGGGCCCAGTTTAGCCATCTGGAAAGTGGACATAACAAGTCATGCCTCGTGAGATTTCTTTGAGGACTTCATGACTCAGTGGCTTAGATAGTGCGGGGTATACAGTAAGTGCTTGATAAATGTTAATTT